CCGGAACCCTGAGCTTTCTGACGGATTCAGTCATGACAATAAAAATAAATGATCATACAGTTGAATATACCTTTGGCTCTGTGAAGGGGTACAGGGTTGTTTGCCCCTTTACTAAATGACCACATTCTGTGTACTTTTTGAAAGTTCTTGGGTGCTTGGGTGGCACAGTCTGCTAAGTGTTTCACTTTTTGATTTTGGCTCAGGTCATATTCTCAGGGTCGCGAGATCGAGCCGCACCCCGGGCTCCGCACTCAGCACAGAGTCTGCTTGAGATTCTCTCTCTCCCTCTTCCTCTGACCCTCCCCCTGCCCTCTCTAAATAAATAAATAAACTCTTAAAAAAAGAGAAAGTTCTTATATCTGCTGGTAGTTGCAATCCACTAAATTAAGTTACTGTAGATGGGGGCACGTGGGTGGCTCAGTTGGTTAAGCGTCTGACTTCGGCTCAGGTCATGATCCCAGGGTGCTGGGGTTGAGCCCCACGTCAGACTCCCCATGCCTGGCTCCCCAACTCAGCAGGGAGTCTGCTTGTCCTTCTCCCTCTGCCCCTCCCCCCACTTGTGCTCACTCTCTCTCTCAAATAAAATCTTGGGGAAAAAATTTAAAAATTACTGCAGGTGGGGAAATCAGATGACCAAGTTTATTCAGAGTATGTCTAAATCCATGAAGAGTAAATAGGTTCTTAGAGAAAGTGTGAGGAGCCCTCTCCATGGGTTTTGTGCACAAATTCTGAATCTTTTCTGACTGTTGCTACTCTCCAGATTGTACCGGCCGTTGGGAAGCCGCTTCCGGACGACGAGGGTACACGGTCCAGTAATACACTAGGGACTCGCAGTAGAATGAGCCCCCCGTAACAACCAGGAGGGATATTTGGGGATGCCTCACGACAAAATTTCTAATTGTGATTGTTTCTAAGGGGGAGGAAAGTGGGGATCTAGTTATGCAGAATTGGCTTCCTCTGCAGGGTATTTGCTGCAAATAATTCAAGTTGTATCACCAGCTAGCTCAGTGACTTGGTTTCCTTATCTGTAAAATGGAGAGCTGCGGGTATCTGGCCCTCTGTCTCTGAGCCCCTTTCTGGATTCTATAGATATCCAGTCTTAATTCCCCATTTCTCCAACAACATGCTCCCTAGAATTTACAGTGATAGCAAATCTTGATATTCTCCCAGGCAGCTTTTATCATAGAAGTCATTAGTTTTCTTCAGCTCTGGCTTTGTTATAACTTGCATTTTAAATGTTCGATTTTTAAAAGACTGTTAAGATTGCCGTAACTTTACCAAGTGATTTGCAGGTGTCAGAGCCTGCCAGTTAACTCAGATGGCCATAGCAGTGACTGCTTTCCATCGAAAAGGCTGAATCACTTAGGAGCGCCTACCTTGCAAGGGCCAAGTGATTCACCACGCCAAGGAACTTTGCAAACTGGGAAAGGGAGCATAGGGTATTAGACTTCCTTTTAGTCTTCTTTGCCTTCTGGCGATTTAGTTGTGGATTCTCTAATGGCAACTTTGTTTTGTTTTTTTTCTTTTTTTTTTTAAGATTTTATTTATTTGACAGAGAGCAGGAGAGCACAAGCAGGGGGAGCAGCATAGGGAGAGGGAGAAGCAGTCTCCCTGCTGAGCAGGGAGCCTGACATGGGGCTCGATCCCAGGACTCTGGGATCAAGACCTGAGCCGAAGGCAGTTGCTTAACCGACTGAGCCACCCAGGGGCCCCTGTTTTCTTTCCAAAACAATATGTACTGTAAGAAGTGCAAACCATACTTACATAATACCGAACACAGAAAGTTCCCTGTCCCCCCCGCGCCCCCAGAGAGAGCCACTCTTAACAGTTTGATGAAATTCCTCCAGATTGTTTTCTATTCTATATATTAACATTTTTTTTAACAAAAATGAGATTGTGTTTACATATACTATTTTGCAACTTGCTTTTGTCTCCTAGCAATATGTCTCGGAGATGTTTCAATTTTATATATATAGGTCTATCTCATTTTACAGCAACGTTGGTTTCCATGACATTATTACATCAGAAATGATTTAATTAGTCTCCGCCAGTCTTTGTCTGGCTGCTCCCCAAAGCTGATCCTAAGACAATGACTTGGGTTCAGATAGGCTACTAAGGAGGTGACGACAGGAAGTACTGATAAGAGAGTGGAAAAGGGAGGCAAGCCAATCGGGGATATTTGATGAGTGGGTAACTGCAGCTTGGAAGATCCCCAAGACCTTCAAGTTCAGTGATTCGCTGGAAGGACTCACAGACTTAGCAAAGCTATTATACTCATGGTTACAGTTTATTACAGAAAAAGGAAACAGACCAAAATCAGCAAAGGAAAGAAGCACACAGGGCAGAGTCCAGGCAAGAACAGATACGAGTTCCAGTTTCCCAGTGGATTTTTAAGGACAGCACTTCATTGTCCCAGGAATGATGTGGGGAGATACACTCGAAAGGGTGCCAGCCAGAAAAGTTCACGCAAGCCCTGGTGTCTGGGATATTGATCAGGCGATCGGTCCCGTATGCATCCAAGCGGCTGACCCTAGTCTCCAGCCCCTGCAGAGGTCAAACTGCTATTAATAAGAGTGGCCCAAGGACTCGACCATAAGTCATAGTTAGCATAGACTGGCGTGGCCCCGGCAGAGGGCTCTGGGTGCTTGAGAGCTGGGGGTAGCCTCTAGAGTGGGCTGGGGAGGTAGACAGGGCACCACAGCCTCAGGTACACTTCTTCACGGACATTTTTTGTTATTTACATTTTTCATTCTCACAATGTTCTAGAGCAGGAGTTGGCAAACTTTTCTATAAAGGACCAGATAGGAAATAGTTTCAGCTTTGTGGGCCACACAGTCTCTTTTGCAACTATTCAGCTCTGCTTCTGTAGTGCACTAGCAGTCATAGACATTGTGTAAACAAATGGGTTTGACCGGGTTCCAATAAAACTTTATTTACAAAACACAGGTGGCAGGCCCGATTTGGCTTAGAGGCTCTACTAACCCAGGTATTATCCAATATCCTTGTATGTATATCTTTGTCCATTTGTGCAGATAATTCTATGGGATAAATTCCTAGAAATAGAATTGCTGGATCACAAGTTAACATTTTTTGGGGCACCTGGGTGGCTCAGTCGTTAAGCGTCTGCCTTCGGCTCAGGTCATGGTCCCGGGGTCCTGGGATCGAGCCCCGCGTCGGGCTCCCTGCTCCGTGGGGAGCCTGCTTCTCCCTCCCTGTCTTCCTCTGCCTGCCATTCTCCCTGCTTGTGCTCTCTCTCTGTCCCTCTCTCTGACAAATAAATAAATAAAATCTTTAAAAAAAAAAAAACAAACAAACTTCAAATGTCTCAGAGAGCTCCTTAGTAGTGTCCTTTATTAAGCAAAGATTCCTGTTCTAATTTTTCCCTTCTAGAAGGGATCTTCACGTAAACAAGGTCCCCCTGTGTGTACTGAACACTTTGCCAAGTTACAAAAAATATACAGGGTCCAATTTTTGTCCACATGGCTGACAGGTACTAGACACTGGAGTGGTATTGGACTTAGCTTGTACAGGCTAGCCTTGTTCACCCTGGGTCTTTTTGGTATTTAGACCGTGGATGGGGTTTTGTTTTTGTTTTTCCACTTTTCTTTTTCTCTTCCCGTTTCGCCCCCCCTCCCCCCCAATTTTTATCATTTAGAATTCTTGATGTGAACCCCACAGGGGAGAACAGAGGCTCATTAGCATTCAAGTTCTGTTTTTGGCTGCATATTTTAGCTGGTTTATTTGATAATCGGCATCCCTCCTGGGATCCAGCCCGCTTTTGCTCGGCTCATGCTGGGTGAATTTGTGATATTTCCCATTCTGCAGTCCTTCATTTATAACCCAGACGCAGCCTGCTTTCCCGTTTGTGAGATGACATGCCCGGACTACCCACACACAGATAAAGAATTAGGCAGAACTTGGCTGGGAAGATAAATCAAGCTAACCATCTCATTAGGCTTGAAAGACACAAATTAAGCTTGCATTGGAATTAACAGAGAAGCCTTCCAAAGAGACACGCAGTACAACAAGGGGTAGAAGAAATTGCCATGGCCATTTCTCTCAGGAAGCTTGCCTCCATTGCCTGGAACAGAGGAAACATAAAGCCTCTTTTATAAAAGCTCCACAGACAGAAATTTGGGATCAAAATAGCAGTATAACCTTCACTGAGTGCTTATCTAGGTACTGTGTGCTGAGACATTACACACATTATCTCCTCAAAACCTCACAGTGACAGATGAGGTAAAGCACTATCAAGATTCCTCTTTAACCTAGGAGGAAACTGAGTCTCAGAGAGATTCCTTCCCTTGTCTCAGGGTCCGAGAGCTAGCCTAATGGTCACCGAGGATGTCTGACCCATGGCCCATGGCTTAACCTAGTGGCTGTTCTCCAGCATGAACTGGCCTTTCAGGGGACATTGGGCCCTGTCTGGAGACATTTTGGATTGTGACAGCTGGTGAGGGTGGTGCTCTTGGCATCGAGTGCATAGAAGCCAGGGGTGCTGCTCAACATCCTGCACAGGACAGCCCCCATGACAAAGAACATCAACAATACTGCCATTGAGAAACCCCGGGTTAACTACTCAACCAGACTTCAGTGATGGCTGACTGTCCCCCTAGAACTACCCACCTATAGTGCTCTGTACACAGCGTGGCAGGGCAATGGCTGTGAGTTTAAAGTTGCGTATTATAGGGGACGCAGCTATGTGGCAGAAGGACCAGCCAGTGCGGAAGCCAGGAGGCAGGAACCTGCCTGGCATGGTGAGGAACAGCCGGCCACCTGGTATACCTGGAGTGAAGGGACTCACGGGCGGATGAGATGAGGGAAGTCGGGCGTTCTTACCATTAAAAGAAACAGATGATGTCCTAAAAGCAAGGAGCCCATGTCTGCAGTTGAGGAACGTGTAGACTAACAACAACCTCTGTCTTGTTCCCACCTCCCTGTTCCGTTTCTCTCCTTCCTCTGACCTCCTCCCCGCCGCCCTCGCCCCTCTGGCTCCCTAGTGTTTGGCCACAACATGAAGAGCAGCAACGACTTCATCGGAAGGATTGTCATTGGCCAGTACTCTTCAGGCCCCTCCGAATCCAACCACTGGCGGCGAATGCTCAACACTCACCGCACGGCCGTAGAGCAGTGGCACAGCCTGAGGTCTCGGGCCGAGTGTGACCGTGTGTCTCCTGCCTCGCTGGAGGTGACCTGAGAGCTGTGGGAAAAGCAGCTTTCATTTGTTTAAAAAAAAAAAAAGGAAGAAAATTTAAGGCAGAAGGAAAACATGTCACATGCCTATTACATCCACACAACACACACACACACACACACTCTCTCAAATACACACACACACACTAAATCCTCTCAGAACTGAGAGGAAGCTGACTATTGAACACAAGATGGTTGCCCTCAATGAGCAAAGCCTGAGAACTTTCTAGAAACCCCATCTGTATGTCACGAGCTGAGTGGGCTCTGCTGTGAGACTTTTTGGCAGTGCTTGCTCCTGTTGATACCCTTACCCCTAAATGCACTTTCAACCCTCAGGCCAGAGAAGGGGCCTCCCCAAGGGTGCCAGCCTCCATCGAGATGAAATTCTCCAAGAGCTTGGCCAGTGTGTGGGAGGCCCGACCCCCACACCCAAAAGGCACACCTGCTGATTGGGTGGCTTTCTGAATGGGCTGCTGTTCCCTGGGGGGTTCTTCAGACCTGATACATTCCCCCCAAAAATGTAAGTACCTTGTCTTCTCTTTAGTGGACGTGATAGATTAGACTATTTGGAGAAGCCAGATGGCCTCAAAAAATATTCCAGTGTAAGAAACTTCCCTGGCTTAACTGAATTTGTCCTTGTGTTAGCTTATTCCTAAGGACCCCCTGTGGGGAATGTTTTCGTGTGTGCCCTCACAGGTGAACACGTGTGTGTCCCTGTGTGTCCTCCTGGCGAGCAAGGTGGTCGGCAGGACCTCAGTCCTGAGCACTCCCTTCTCTCTGCCCCTCCCAGTGAAATTTCACCCCGTGTCCTCCTGTCTGTCACGGCCCCACCTTCAGTAACAGCATGTGCGTATGTCAAGTAAATAGAATATGATAGAGCAAAAGTAACCTTTTTTGACGATTCATGGTGATTGTGGCACACGGAAGACTTGCAAAGGACGGTTACCTGGATTAAAATGGCCACCGTGCTCCCGTCCAAGAGGACTCCTTCCTTGTCATACTCTGAGCATCTTTCTGTGTTTGTGTGTGAACCAAAGTCATTTTTCTCATGCTAAGGAATTAGTGTAGTTAGGATAGATCTCTCCCTGTTGGATGCTTCTGTATCTTTCCCACAGCCTCTTGTCTGGCATAATGGGGAGCTATTTATTGAAATTAAAGATTATTTATTTGTGCCATGCATTTGAGTTATCTTTTTCTTCACGAACATGGGGCATGAGGAGTGCAAGGTGTTTCGGTCACCGCTGCTGTGTAACAAACCATCCCAATGACTCAGACCCCTGACGTGGCAGGGAGGTCAAAGGGGAAGGCAGGAGGGCGAGGTTAGGTTAAGTTTCTCAAGAGAAAAAAAGAGACTACAAAATGAATTCCTTATCATCGTTGTACAGAAGAGGATAAACGCATGAGAGAACGGGGGCGCCGGGGTGGCTCAGTCGCTTAAGCGTCTGCCTTCGGCTCGGGTCCTGGTCCCAGGGTCCTGGGATCGAGCCCCACATCGGGCTCCCTGCTCGGCGAGGAGCCTGCTTCTCCCCCTTCCCTCTGCTCCTTCCCCTGCTGTCTCTTTCTCCCTCTCAACTAAATAAATAGAATCTCTAAAAAACAAAAAACCATGAGAGAACAAAGAGCATGAGGAAGACCAGAACATAGCAGGCGTTGGGCACTAGAGAGGAGGGACTACCGGTGACTGAGCCCATGGGCTTTGGAGCCGAAGAAACCATGGTTCAAATCATGGACTCACCTCTCTCTAATTGTGTATCCTTGCACAAGCCATATGACTTCTCTGAGCTATGGTCTCCTCATTATCTTAGTTAGGTGTACCTCAAAAGCAGACCTTGAGGCAAGGACTTGGGTGCTGCTTGTTTACTGGGAAGGGGACCCCAGGAAGCATTAAATGGAAGAACAAGTCAGAGAAAGGAGAAAAACAGATGAAGGCTGCCTTGACTAGCACTGTGGGCAGCTGGGGCGCAGTCATGCTGGGGACCCTGGAGAATACACTTGACAATGATCATGATGGGGAAGCTGGGGTATTTTAACTCCCGACGCTTATCCCTCAGGGCCTGAGGGTTGCCCCTGGAGACGTGAAATGTTTGGCACTTTAGGACTGTCCTGTGTGGGCTGAGCAAGCTTCAGTAGCACCAAGAAATCCCCAGGCAGAGAATGGGGTGGTGGGTGGGGGGCCACGTTCTCGGCCAAGTGTGAGATCTGCATGCGCTGCAGCCACAGGGAAAGTCAGAGGGCCTGAGAGCGCGCTCTGAGGTGGAGCATCCCCAGCATCCGCCTCCCTCATCAGTAATAACAAGAGGGCTGACTGAGCACCATGGGAAATGCCAAACATCTCACGTAGTCCTCATGCGGAAACCCACACGGAAAATGTTCTTATTTCCCTTTTGCAAAGGAGGAAGCCAGGGCTTAATGAGATTAAGTGGCCGGTAAGTGATAGAGTAGGATACCAGCTTGGGCCTGCCGGACTCGAGAGCCTGTTACGGGCTGGATTGTGGCCCCCTCAAAAAAGATGGCAGCCTGACCCCCAGTACCTCAGAGTGTGACCTCTTTGGAGATCGGGTCTTTACAGAGGTAGTCAAGTTGAAGTGAGGCCATTGACTGGGCCCTAATCCAGTATGACCAGTGTCCTTATAAAAAAAGCGGGGGGGGCAGAGATTAGGACCCAGAGACAGAAACACACAGAAGGAATATGATGGGCAGAGACACAGAAGGTTGTAGATCCATCCCTCACAGCCCTCAGAAGGAGCCAACCCTGCAGACACCTTGATTTTGGACTTCTGACCTCCAGAACTGTGAGACCATGAATTTCTGCCATTTGGAGGTTGTGGTGAACTATGCTGGCTGGACAATCCTGTCTGAAAATAGGGCGACTCTTGTTAGCCCGCACGGTTCATTTGAGGATTAGCCTGGATAATGGCCGCACCGTCTCTACATGCGGTACATGCAGACTGTTCCTGCGAGGCACACATCAGGCCATGTTTGCTGGTTGGCCAGAGGGGACAGTTGCAGGATGGTTGTCAGAGCTGTCCACGTCTCTAAGGAGAGAGTTTGTCAGGAGACTAGGGAAGTGTGTTGAAAGGTGAAGGAATGACTTGGTTTCTATAGAAACTTGGGCTCAGTGTGCCCTGTCGTGGGCTACCCATTAGCATCCTGCTCCTCCTCCTCAGCTGTAAGATGGGAAAGGAGAGTCACCGGCCACCTACGTACCCTCTTTGGAGTGTGGGGACCCAAGTTCAAAGGGAGGAGGTGGGGTAGGAAAGTTTGAAAGCCGAGTGTGTTTTCCCACAGCCAGTCCTTGAGTCCTCTCGTCTCTTGAGATTCCAGAGCCCCTCAGGATTTCAGTCCACCCCCGGGAGTTGACAGAAGCTATGACCTCTGCCAGCCCAGCTCAGACATGCTGAGTCCCAGGGCGCCAGGAACAGCTGTTTGGAGCTCTGATATTTCACTTTCAAAACGCTGGGAATCACGGCAGGGGAAGAAAGAAGGACTCCTTTCCTTTCTGAGTGGCCTGTCTGCCACTGTCACTGAGCTACCTGCCCTTTCCATGTTCAAAAAGACCATTGAAAATAACTCAGGGATTGGGGCACCTGGCTGGCTCAGCTGGTACAGCGTGCGACTCTTGATCTCGGGGTTGTAAGTTCAAGCCCCGTGTTGGATGTAGAGATTACTGAAAAAATAAAATCTTAGGGGCGCCCAGGTGGCTCCATCAGTTAGGTGTCCGACTCTTGATTTTGGCTCAGGTCATGCTCTTGGGGTGGTGGGATTAAGCCCCGCATCAGGCTCTGTGCTCAGTGGGGAGTGTGCTTGAAGATTCTCTCCCTCTGTCCTCCTCCCATCCCCGTGCACACACACGCTCGCTCGCTCTCTCATAAATCTCTTTAGAAAATAAAGTCTTAAAAAAATAAATAACTCAGGAATGATCATCACTACGTAAAAACTAAAATTAATGCCTAGAAAAAAACTGACAGCATCACCCTCAAAGTTGGCCAGGGTTATCCTTTGGGAGGTGGTTTTACTGCTCAACCATATACCTTCCCGTGTGGTATTTTTGAAGGTTGCATCATGATCTAATGGTAGCTAACGTATATTAAGCAATTACCGTGTCAAGCACTGTTCTAAGCACTTGTATGAGGCAAGAACTGATTTGTTCCCATTTTGCAGATGAGGAAACTGAGGCTTACGGGATTACATAACAGTATGTGGTCCTACTGCAGCAGGTGCCTGAAGGGGAAAGCCATGAAATGAACTCGCCTCCACTGTCCCTTTTATAACGGTGGTGAGGGCGCAGGGGACTTTGTTTTACTGGTAAATAAACAGCATTTTTTTAAAAGCTAAGAAACTAACGGAGGTGATTAGATGATAGAGGAGAGGTGGGAGAGGAGAGGAGGGGAGAGGAGGTGGTCTGAATCCCCAGACCACCATGAGCACAGGGTGTGTGGAGGTGTATCTGGGAGTGGGAGGGCGGGTGAGGCCATCACACCATAATACCACTTTAGGAAGGCAGAGAATGTATATACTATGTTACAAAGAGACCTCTGCAACCTCCAAATGGCAGATTGATTTGTTAAGTAAGGAAATTACCTACTTTCTGGTCAGTAAACTTGAGGTCTAACGCAGGGGTTGGCCAACTCGGGCCCGTGGACCAAATCCAGCCTGCTGCTTATTTTTGTAAATGAAGTTTTACTGGAAGCCAGCCAGGTCCATTCCTATAGTCTGTGGCAGAGTTGAGTAGTTGTGACTGAGTCCGTGTGGCCAGCAAAGCCTAAAATACTTGCTATCTGGCTCTACAGAAGTTTAAGTTACAATAAAGTAGGATGAACGAATGAGTCTGGAGAGCTAATGCACGGCATAATGAATACAGGACTGGACTGAATGCTGAAATTTGCAAAGAGAGTAGATTTCAGGTGCTCTCATCACCAAAAAGAATGTAACCATGTGAGGAGATGCTACCTTAATCAGTGTGACTGTAGGAGCATTTCACTGTGCACGTTGAATGCACTATTGAATCATCAGGTTGCATACTTTAGATTTATACAATTTTTATTTAAAAATAGAATTAAAAAAAAAAAAGTTTGCCTACCCCTGCCTAGAACAATGCTTCACAAACTGTAACGTACACACAACCCCTTGATTCTGATTCGGGGGGTCTGGTGTGGGGCCTGAAATTCTGCCTTTTTGAACAAGCTCCCAGGAGACACCAATGCATGGGATTGGGCGTATAACGAACACTCCACTTGTTTCCATCCAGAGACGGGGCATGAACCCATTTACCAAAACTTTCAGCCATCATCTATTGACACATTATCAACACAGATCATTTAGTTCATTTGCCAAATCAAAGGATCCTCCACTTTTCAAAAGAATTTCCAGTGGCATCTGTCGGACCACCCTCCTCCCCACCTGGAGGATTCCCACTCGGAGGGTGCTTGATTTCTGTGACAGCAGGGGCCCCCGAAATGCATTGCACCAGATGATGGAGAGTGGGGAGAAAAGATGCAAATTTTATATTTATGTTTTATATCAACCTTCAAAAAATATATATGTCAGTTTGGGGGAGGGGTATTTTATAACAGACCTGATCTATTAGTACAGTAAGTCATCGATGCACAACACGGACATAATAAATGTATGTCATTCCTAAATAAATATACATGTGCGCTCTGGGGTGTGCACCAGCCCAGCGTTTTGAGGAACCGGTAGACGTGGGGCATGAGGAGGAAACTGGGCCTGAGCTGTGTTTGTATCCTGAGTCTGGCCTCGGCAGGCTCTCCACCCGGTGCCCACAGAGCAACGCAGTTAGACCTCGAAGGCATGGCAGCAGGTGTGCCAGAGAGCAAGTGAGTGCCTGGGACAGGTTCAAGTCCTCCCTGTGGGTGCCAGCCACACAGAGTGTCAGAGAACCCGATGGAGCATTTCAGGAGAGCAAGCGGGGGAGGGAAGGGAGTATGCAGGGTCTCCTGCCAGGAGAAGGCTTGCACTGGATCCACGATAATGGTAGCAAAATTTGCTATCCTTTATTGAACACCTACTATTTGCCAGCATCTATGCTGAGTCTTAGAAACAAATGATTTCACTGAATCTTTGCGAGGTAGGTACTCTTGGTGTCCCCTATTTTATTAAGGAGGAAACTGAGGCCTCAGAAAGGCAGAGTGACTTGCCTGACAACACATGAAGCAGGGGAGAGAAAGACTCCGATTTTCGCAGATACTAATTCATAAGTGCAGTGACCTTCCCAATGAAACACCAGTGGATTTGAACACATTTATGTTAAGTTGGAGCAAACCACACACGAGACCTGTGCACGAATGATAATGTTTGCTTCTCTTCGTTGAGCACTTATCCTGGGCCAAGAACCTTCTACTGGCACCTCCTTTAACCCCTAAGAAACCTTGAAAGGTAGAGGGAAAGGGTGGAGGGTAACCCACCTAGGCCTTCCTTGCTGCTTCCTAGGCAAGAGGTGTTCTAGGGCCTTCAAGGCCAGGGTGGGGTGGGGACGAGCTAAGGCCAAGCACACAGGCCCCATACACTTCTTTATTTTTTAAAGATTTTATTTATTTATTTAACAGAGAGAGGCACAGCGAGAGAGGGAACACAAGCAGGGGGATGGGGGAAGGAGAAGCAGGCTTCCCCACAGAGGAGGGAGCCCGATGCGGGGCTCGATCCCAGGACGCTGGGATCATGACCTGAGCGTAAGGCAGACGCCCAACGACTGAGCCGCCCAGGCGCCCCCCCCCCCATCCACTTCTGCACCAGCCTCTGACTTCTATTTTTACCTTCTGGTATGTATTTCCTCTGAGGGGGCCCGAGGTGCTTTTATCTCCTGTGACAGGCCCAGATGCAAGCTCTGTTACTATCCCATCTCACAGAGGAGAAAATGGAGTCTCAGAGAAGCCTGCACATGCCCAAGGCCACACAGTGGCTCAGAAGCAGGGCGGTGGTTTCTCTTAGTTCCCTGAAGGGGGCTGACCGGGGTCAGCTTTCAGGCTGTCACTCAGAGCTGTCTCCGGTGCAGAGGGGACAGAGGAGGAGGAGACTGGAGGCTCTCCAGTGTGTCCTGAGCTCCCAGCAGCACTCGCCTGCCCCCAAGAGAGCTCCAGTGGAAGGGCCTCTCTCCTCCACTCAGGCCTGAAGGTGGCTTCCTCGGGCCTCGGGATGCAAAGGTGGGGGTGGTGGGCCACGGTGGCCTTCCCGACCCTCCTGTCTGCACAGGCCTTTCCACAGACGGACATCAGTATCAGCCCAGCTGAGCACCGGGGCCAGGGCCGGAGCAAGAGGAGAGGAGAACACCTCACAGACACTTGAGGTTCTGTCAGTGAGGCCTGGTTAGCCTGGGCTGCAGGCCCGCCCGACCCGAGGAGTGGTGGGAGCTGAGCTGAGCCTCCCGACAGCCCTCCTGGCTCCCCTTCCCGCACCCCAGCCAGGGGCATTGTCCCTGGCTCAGACCCAAAGAGTCCTGATTTTTAAATCCCAGCTTAGCATCTTAAAAACGGTGTGACCTCGCCCAAATTTCTTAACCTCTCTGAGCTCAGCTTCCTTCGGAAAATGGGGGTCAGAGTAGCACCCTCTGGGGTGACTCTGCAAGGGAAGTAAGGTAAAGTGGGGAAGTGCTTTGTTCTTGGTGTCTGGCACCACAGCAAGGTCTGAAAATGGGATTTCTGTTGGGATTTGGCGTCAGGGGTGCGGGGGCCACCCCCACTTTGACTGTGACGTCTGTTCCCAGGGACCTTTCAGACCTGCTGCTTGCCACCACAGGTTAGGCATGCAAGGGGACACAGTTGTCCGTCTCATGACCTCCCTGGAGGCCACTGCTCGGTGGCCCACTTCTCTGGGTTTTCTGTGTCCCCGGCAATTAGGACAGCAATTACCAGCCTCTGGCATGTGGCCTCCCCGTGTCCCACGTGAAAGTCTCAGGGCTTCAAAGGAGCTCCGTTTCTTCCTCTTTGCAATGGGGAGACCAGGGTGCTCACTGTGAGGGAACCCCGTCTGGGCGGGAAGATTCCTGAATCCTGCCGTCTGCTCTGGGCTGAGGATCTTGCCTGTCACCTCCACTGTGAGGGTTCTTTCCAAAGACTGTTTATAATATTTAAAATAATAATAATACCTACAACCAGTTAAGATTTACATAGCCCTCTCTATGTGCCAGGCATTGTTTTAAGCACTTTCTGTGTATGGATTTATTTAACCTCTGCAGTAAGCCTGTGACAGACATGCTATTTTGATCCCCGTTAAAGTACAACTCATAATGAAAGTGTAGAATTCCCATGAGACCCCATTTTGGGGCTGTTACGGTGCTGGGGTGAATTGAAACAGTGGGGTGATAGGGTTGCCAGATAAAATACCTGATGCCCAGGTACGTTTGAATTTCAGATAAACAGTCACCTTTTAGTATAAGCATGTCTCAAAGATTGAGTGGGACATAGACTTAAAGTGATTTGTTGTTTAGCTGAAATTCAGATGTACCTGGGCATCCCCCTTAAACCAAGGCGAGTGGTGGTCTTTGTTTATCTAGGCAAGCATTAGGGGCTCCGATCTATCATAAACTCTGTCTTTGTCGGCTCAGGCTGCAACAGGAAGTTATTGCTCACAGCTCCGGGGGCTGGGAAGTCGAGGTGCTGCCTGATTCCGTTCCCTGGTGAGGGCTCTCTTCCTGGTTTATAGATGGCCACCTTTCTTGTTGAGTCCTCATGTGGCAGAGAGAGAAAGAGTATGTGCACATGCTGGTTTCTCTTCCTCTTCTTGTAAGGACATTAATCCCATCATGGCCCCCCTCCCCCATGACCTCATCTAACTCTAATTACCTCCCTAAGACCCCACTTCCAAACACCATCACACTGGGGCTTAATGCTCCAACATATGAATGGGGGGGGGGCACAAAAATTCAGTCCATAACCGGGACTTTGCATCCTTGCTCTTAGGCCTCAGTCTTCTCATCCATGCAGTAGGCGAGCAGGAGAGAAGTTGGACAAAATATCCTTGAGGTCTCCCTTTGTATATCGCATGGTCCTGCCTTTCCGTCCCATGTGTGTGGGAAGGGCCCGAGGCTAAGTTTGCAAGTGGGAGCAACTGGGGAGTCTTCTCTCCCACTCACTTGTACCTGTGGCACCTCTTTGTGAGCATCAAGTTTCCTCCCCTGGAGAATGGGGATAATAATCGTGCCTACTAAATGTTTTGGGGATCTCCAATGAGATCGTGCAGATGAAGCGCTTAGCACATGTTAAGTGCTTAAAGAATGAGAGTTATTACTGTTAGTTCTTCTGCTACTGCAGTTGTTGGTGATATGATAGAAGTGGTCAGGAGACACAGCTTTCTGTTGTGACAAAGGCCTCCCTTGGAGAAAGGACTTTCCAGAGGTCTCTCCCCCAGCTCACCCTCATTCTGCCGGTAGGGGGAACTGAGATCACTTCAAAGCCAGCAGTCTTGGAGAGCTCAGAACTGGAGTTGGCAGGAAGGGTCGGGGAAATCCATTCAGCCCAACATGTTACAGTTGGGGAAACTGAGACCTACAGAGGCCAGTGACCCTGCCAACGGGTAGTTCTCTGGCTCTCCAGGTTCCCAGCCCAGCAGAAAGCCTAGTTCGAGCCTGAGCAGACAGATCTTCTAGAGGAAAGTGACTTCAACCCAGATGAGAATGTGTGTGTGTGTGTGTGTGTGTGTGTGTGTGTGAGCAAGAGTGTGAGCAAGAGTGTGCACGTTGATGCGTGACTAAGAAGGGCTCCTCTAGGGTCCTGGTGGGCCTTTGCAGGCCACGAAGGTGAGTGCACATCCAAGAGCCCTCTTTGTTGAGAATGCGCCCTGTCTGCCTTTCTCCTCTGGATCGCAGCCTTCCCGTGCAAAGCAGAACAGAGCATCTGTCATCTCTTCACTCACCCCAAGTCTCCTGACCTTCCATGAACATGCAAATATACGCACAGAGTGCACCTCAGCCACACCTCGAGATTTGCGCTGGGAAAAAAAAAAAACCCAAAAAACCCTTTAGACACGTCTGAGAGACTTGGGAGGGTTTAGCCAGACTAGAGCCTTTTCCCAAAACCTTTTCTGCGAACTTGGCTTTGATCACATTGTACAAGGGGATTAATGAGTGTAAAGTGCTTTAGAAGAGACCTGGCACCTAGTAAAAGCTGCATAAATATTTGCTGTTATGGTTCTTCAACCATTACCATCAAGTTTCCTTTCCTGGCTCCTGAGGCCAAGAACTCTCCACAGCACAGGCAATTCCAGCAAGGCGTTTGAAGCTGGGGGGTGGGGGTGGGGTGCTGCTTCTGCAGGGCTTCAGGGGTGGGCAGGGGAATCAGGCTGGCACCGCAATCCCAGCTCCAGGCGGGTTCCGGGGCCCAGGCTGTCTCTGCTGCAGTAATACCTAATGCTTACTAGAATGCCAAGTATGAGCCAGGCCATGGCTTCCTTGTGAAGTAGGCATTATCATCATGTCCATTTTATAGATGTGAAAATGGAGGCACGAAGAGCTGGGTGTCCAACAGGGGCCGTTGGACTCCAGAGTTCAAGCTGGAGCCTAGAGGTCTGAGCAACTGGATGTCCGCACTTCCTAGAATACCCCTTGGAGTCTGAATCATAGAGTCAGATCCCAGAGTGCCCCGTGAACACGCTGGCCCGATTCCCCACCCCACCTCTATGGGCACAGAGCACTCTGCATATTTCTGGACTGTATCTTAGTATATGATGACTCATTGTCCTGAGTGTGTTCCTCTCCCCAGACTGTGAGCAACTTGAGGGCACAGACCTCAAAGCCAAATAGGCACCCAGGAGACATGGACTTATTGGCTTGATTAACTTTTAGTCTTAACGCAGGCTGCTATAACCTATGGTAAAAAACAAAAAAACAAACAACAACAACAACAAAAAACATAGATTGGGAGGCTTAAACAATCGGAATTGATTTCTCACAGTTCTGGAGTGGTGGGAAGTCCGAAATCAAGATCCTGAGCAATTTGGTTCCTGGTGAGGACTCTTGCTGGGTCCAAGAGGCCACCTTGGCTGTGTCCTCACAGGTAGAGAGAAACGTGGCGGGGGGGGGGGGGCAGGAGCACTGGTCTCTCTTTCTCTTCTTATAAGGGCACTAATCCTATTATGGGCACCCCCCAATAACCCCATCTAACCCTACTCCACTCCCAAATGCCCCCCTTCCAAAGACATTGGGGATTAGGGCTTCCACATATGAATTTGAGGAGGGGGAGATGCAAACATTCAATCCATGACGTGGTTAAATTTGGTGTTTAATATATTTGTCTTACAAATGGGAAAACCAAGGGCAGAAAAAAGATGTTTTCCGGAGGTGCTTAGTGTTTAGGGAATTCTGAGTTCATCCCAATACCACCACTTGCTAGCTGTGGGAATAAGTGACTTAACCTCTTCGAGACTCAGTTTCCTCAGCTGTAAAATGGGGATGATACTGACACCCTCTGAGGCTGGTCTCAGCAGTTACATACTCACCACCGAATGAATGAATGGCCGCTGTTTGGGCAATAGAAGAAAGGTTGCAGTGCTTTTTTCCTCTGTATCATGTGGCCACAAGTGTGGCCCAGAGAAGGAAAAGCAGAGCTCAGACACGAGAGGCCCAGGACCACCAGCTCTGGAAACCAGAGCCAGGACTCACTGGTGAGGAAGATGGTCTGATGGTGGGACATGTGAACCAGGGAGACAGCGGGAAGGAAAGGCAGTGAGGGTGATGGAAGCCCTCCCAGTCGCCACCTTCCAGGACACTGAGAGACTCTTCCTCCTGTCTCCTGGGACATCTGGGGCCCAGTAGTGGGAGTGGGGTGGGGGTTGGGATGTGGACCCCGGAGCCTTCCTCACCTCCTCTCCTGGCTGGCTCTCAAGGCTGATCTGGGCAGGAGGCAGCGGGGTAGTGCATTTGTAGGCGGCTGGATTGGGGCCAGAGGAGCAGGCAGCCAGATTGAGTGGGAAGGTGACAATTTATTCTTTTAAAAAAGAGAGAGAGAGAAAAAAATGAGCCCTGAACTCCACTGGTGTGTTCTTTTTTCTTCACAAGCTCGGAGCTCCCAAAGACTTTGACTCCCACCCCAGCTGGGAAATCTTGGTGACCTTTAGTGCTGGTAATTGAGGTAAAAAGACCCTACCATTTGGCCTCCTGGTTTCCAGAGCAACAAGCTCCTTTGTGCATGCCTTCCTGTCTCTTCCCCCCCCCGCCCCCCCCCCCCCCCCCCCCCCCCCCCCCCCGTCACCTCTGGCCTCATCTCTTGCCTCCCCCTGCCCCACCCTCAGATTCCCAGCTTGGCTGAACCATTTGCAAATGTTCTCCAAATGTTCCATTCTCTCATACCTCAGGGCCTTTGCACCTGCTGTGTCCACACAGCACCTGAAACGTTTTCTCTGACTCTTACCTTTCAGGTGTCAGATGAGACATCATCCCGTCCAGGAAGCCTCCCAGATCTCCACATCCTTGTATGACATGTTTCGGTGCTCCTATGGCAACTCCCTGAAATTCCCCCATCTGGGAAGGGGACTCTGGTGCTCTGTCTTAATCACCCCCCAGGCTCCTTGAAGAGAGGGTTGGGGCGGCCACCAGTTCACCTAAGGAGACAGAGGGGGCAAACAAATAACCAGCTTCCAAAAATAATTTGGGGGCTGCTCCCTCAAGTTTTTGCCTGCATGACAAACATCCACAAATGGCACATTAATGACATTTTATATCTGTGCTTATTTTTCTTAATATCGGTCTCCATTAGACTGTAAGACCCAAGAGGTCAGAGGCCACCTCTGTGTAGTTGGCCACAGTATCTCCAGCATTTAGCCAACTAACTGCCTGAGCCCAGGTAGTGCTCACATAGGACTTGTTGAAGGAAAAGGAGTGAGTGAAGGACCAGGCCATCAAGACTGAGACAAAAGGAAATGGGCATTTAAGCAGCAGGAATCCCTAAATTAGGTCTGGAGCCATAGAGCCTGTCTTTAAAAACTACCTCTGCCGCTTAGGAGCTGTGTGATCTTGGGCAAGTTACTCAACCTCTCTGTCTTTTAGGTTTCTTCCTCTGTAAAGTGGCAGTGATTGTGGTACCTACCTACCTTGTAGGATGTGTGAATGCTAAATGAATTGTTATGTACAAAGAACTTGACACAATGCCTGGCTCAGATGAAAGCTCAGTAGTGTTGATATTGCCATCATTATCTGACTTGTAAAGCTATAAACCTAGAGAAATCCCTTCACAAGGGAGACACGGACTAGCGAAGGCTATTTCGGGGTTCAGGCGGATGAATGGCCCCTGAGATCCTTCAGTTCTCAGTTTCTCAAATCCCAGAGGCAAAGGGGGTGCGGGATACCAGGCAGGATGGAGTTCATTATCATCCCAGTGCAAACACGTGGCTTTTTGCCTCCCAGATCCTTACAATTAAAGGCCTCTGCCTGCCCAGGTGGAAAAGGGAGTAATTGAGCAGTGACCTGTCACAGCCCCATTTTCTGGTATGTTTCACTCCAGGCATGTTTGTTCAGTGGAGAAAATCAAAGGAACCAGCAGTGTGGAGGAGGGAGCTTGTTTTCCACAGGGAGACTTGATTTCAAATATCCACCATGCTTTAGGACCCAGGAGAAGCCTTTGGGCCTTGGGGAGAGGGGAGTGAGGACCCTTGCCCCCTCCTTTCCCCTTCCAGCCCCCTTCATTTAATTATTGCTTTCTCTCTCTACGTAAAATGTAGTGCCACAAAATCCCTACAAAGAGCTCAGCAACACCCAGAAGGGACAAGCCAGGACTGCCGAGCACAGCTGCCTGGGTGGGGGAAGGGCTGGTTCTGGTCAAACAAGAAAGACCAGTGGCTCTGGTCAGTGACGGGAGGCATGGAACCTGTCTGCTTAGCAGAGCTCTCGATTAAAACAACTGACTCTTCCTTTCCCCCAAATAAATGCACAGTTACACGCATGTGCACATGCACACATACACACTTTTGATTTTGCATTTAATTTGAGGGGATTCGCTAGATCCCCGAAGCCCCAACAGCCCTGGTTATGAACCCCTGAGCTAATCATAATAATCATACCATCACAGAGCAGTCCATACATGCCACGCATTCCGCGAATTGATCTGGCCCAATTAGTTGGCCTACCAACCTCATGAAGTAAGTGCTAAAAGACTATTAACCATTCTCAGCCCTGTTGATTTCCCTTGATGAAACATCCTGCGGACTTTAAGATCAAAGGCTATGGTGTCGGGAGGCTGAGTTCAAATCCCTATCTGCCACTGACTAGCAGGATGACGTTGGGCAAGTCTCTTGACCTAAGCCTCGGTTTCCCTGTTTGTGTTTGGCACATCACAAATGCTCCGTGAATGTTGTCCACTACTTAATTATTCAAGAGCTCAGCCAGCTATTACAGTGGCTGGAAAGGCAAAGATCCCACATCCTTGGGTGGCTGCAAAAGGGACCCCAAATATCAGCCAGTTTGACAGCTGAGAGGGAGGGAATGTGCCACTGCTGGTGGCTGGGACCCCGGCCTCCAGATCCCAGTCCAGCAGATCTCACCACTGCCCACTGCCACAGATGAGCCACCTAACATTGTTCAAAGAAGGTTCTCAGCATGCCTTCCTCCCCGCAGCCAGTCATCTTGAGTCGTTTCCAAAAAGAGTATCTCCTAAGAAGTCTTCAGGGGGGGCTGACGCTTGGGAGAACTTTATTGTCTCGATCATGGGTTTTTCATGTGTGCTTTTTTTTTTTTTCAGACTTAAGAGCACATCCTGAACCCCAGCAGTTCGATGGGCTTACAGATATAAATAGTTCGGTGGGCTATCGTTTGTCAGTAAACACGTGGAAAAATCTCCGCCCTCACCAGAGAGCTCAGAATTGCAAATTGAAACAAGATGCCCTTTTTTTGCTTATAAAATTTGCAAAGATTGCCATGAAAGTGATAACACTCAGCGGTGGCAAGGGCACTGTGAGATGGGCACTCTCAGGCATTACCGTGGGAGTATAAATTGCTTTCAGGAGGCAATTTAGCAAAATTGTATCAAAGCCTTAAAAATCTCTCCTCGGAAAATCACCAGAAATGCTGAAAAAGCTTGATGCACAAGGGCTGTTCATCTCAGCACTGGGTGTAATTGTTTTTAAAAAAGGGAATCAGTCTAATTATCCACAAATAGGGGAATGATTAAATCAACTCTAGGGGGGCCACTCAGTGGAGGATTCGAGAGCTATTTAAAACAATGTTTACAAAAATTTATAATGACGTGGGGGAAATATGTTCTCATTTTTGGAACTCGGAATACTGACAGGTATGTATAGTACAGTATAACAATTGAATTTCTACAAATCACTGCATTCGAGCGTGACATGAAGAAAAATACACCAGAGCAGTAACATTTTCCAAGTGTTCTATAATGAGCGTATATTACTCTTGTCATTTGGTAAATGTTAGGTATGCACGTGTTCTTTGGACCTCAAGCGTAGAATTTTACTAATCATAATGTAAAATGTTTTATGTTCACTCTTGAAAAGATGTCACAAGCTATAGGAACAATGTCTGCACACTGCCCACCCTCCTGCCATTCTGTTTTCTTTCTGCCCACGCGCATGCCGGAGCTGCCCCGGGCTTCCCTGTGCCCACTGTTCTGGATGGAGTTCAAAGGCCACTGCTATAGATTTTTCCTTCTCAATAAGACTTGGGCCGAGGCCGACTTCTACTGCTCTGAGTTGTGCATTGGCAGGAAATCCGCCAAACTGGCCTCCATCCACAGGTGAGTGGACATCCATCCCCCATGGCCCAACCAAGCACCCCCTTTGGAAAGGGGAGTGAAAAATGGCATTTCTCACTGGTGTTTCTCTTGGGTAATTCTAACTAGCTTTGATCGAGCCCGAATTCTCTTTGAAATTGGTCCAGCCCAATTTCTCATTGAAAAGGTAGAAGGCAAAACATTTATCCTGGGTGGCAAATAGCAAGCTTGAAGATTCGTCTTTACGTCTTTATAAGTGCTGATTTTGTGCAGAGGGCTTGACCCTGTGATAACAACTCACATAACATACATACAAAGACTATAATGTGAGGAATAATAACTGACATTTATTTGCTTGGCGTTTATATACATCATCATATTGAAGCTCCCTCAGACCATATTAGGTAGGTATCTTCATCGCACAGACACAGAACCTGATCCTCCAGAAAAGTAACTTGCTTAAAGTTAGCTAGCTAGAAAGTGGTGGAGCTGGGATTTGAACCTGAACAGTTGAATTCCATAGCCCACCCACCAAGGCCTCCTTCCACATTCCTCTGTGTCTCCCAAGCCCCAGCCACACGGACCGTCTCAAACTTCTCCAGTCTGGTCCAGCCCTTTTGCTCCCCCATACCTTTGCACATTCTGTTCCCTCTGCAGGGAATTCCTATCCCCCTCTTCTCCTCCAGATAAATACCTCCTTAACCTTCAGGCTCATCTCTTCACTGAAGTCACCCTGACTCCATGGCACCCTACTTGCACTCATCGACCACCTCTCCTAGAGCATTTTTTTCATCACCCTATTATGACTTGTTTTCACCTCAGACATCCTGGACGATGTGTGGGTTCCTTGGAGCCAACTATGCTATGTTCCATTGGCACCCAAACTACAACTTCACAATCCTGCTTCTGTTTTTCAAGAATCTCAAAGACTTGAAGCCGGAAAGACAGTTGGTTCTTTATGCTTTAGAGTGCCCGAATTTTGGTAAGAATGGAGAAGGGGTCCTCTATCTTAGTGTGTAAGCGAATCCTCCATGTTTTCCAACCAATATGGAGAGCCCCCACTGTATTCTCAGTGGTGCTGAGGAATATAGCGTGGCAGTCAGGTCTATGAGGAGAACACGAACCACTGCAAATATTCAAAACAGAGAATTTAATACACACGGGTGATGGAATCTAAGAACTTAAAGAGGCAGTAGTGAGGCAGTCCAGAGATTCACAACGGCAGGAAGCCAATCCCACCCCTAACGGGAGGGCAAACCAGCCTTAGAGGATCTGGAGCCACCGGGGTGAGGCAGCCCCTGCCAGCGACTCCCAAGGCAGAGAGGGAGACAAATACCCTGGCTTCTCCCTCCCTCCCACCCTCATCTGTGCCTCCCACCACAGGCAGGGCAGCTGACAAGAAAACCGGCGAGAAATGGTCTTCAGGGCAAATTCCCTGTGATAGAGAACAGAGCGCAGGATTGGCACTGACAAGGATGGATCAAAGAAGTTCTCAAAAACTGTGAGCCTATAGAGGAAAATGAGATCCATGTGATAAAGAGTATATTTTAAAAATGATTCCAGGGGTTGGGGCACCTGGGCGGCTCAGTCGGTTAAGCGTCTGCCTTCGGCTCAGGTCGTGATCCCAGGGTCCTGGGATCGAGCCCCGCATTGGGCTCCCCGCTCAGCAGGAGCCTGCTTCTCTCTCTCCTCCCTGCTCATGCTCTCTTCTCACTATCTCTGTCTGTCTCTGTCTCTCAAATAAATAAATAAAATCTTTAAAAAAAATAAAATGATTCCAGGGGTGCCTGGGTGGCTCAGTCGGTTAAGTGTCCGACTCTTGATTTCAGCTCAGGTCATGATCTCAGGGTCGTGAGATCAAGTCTCACACTCAGTGTGGAGCCTGCTTAAGATTCTATCTCTCCCCCCTCCGCCCCCCCCCAGCCCCCGCTCTCTCTCCTCTCCTTTTAAAAAAAAAAAATTCCAAATGAAGCTTTCCGTTTAGCCAGCCCACAGGAAGGGCAGCTCAGCCTGCTCATGGTGCTTGTAACCTCAACCTTGGTTAGCTGGGCATCAGAAAGGATTCCAGGCAAATTGGGGGACTTCCGGCAATCCCTGACCCAATTCCCGTTCTTTTCTGCCTCGACTTACCTTCTTCCTGTCTTCTCAACTCCTACTGCTCCTCCTTGCCTTTCTTACACTAACAGTCTCTCCCTTTCCTCTCCTTTACAGGTAGTTTTCCATGTTGGCATATAATACTTTCCTGAAAGCATGTAGGAAAGTTAAACCTGAACAATTCATTCATCAATTATACATGAAATTCAGTTTGCATAAAGCTGAACACCATTATAAAATCCTTAATTACATCTTGTCTTTGAGACACAGCCCGAGTCTGTATTTCTGGTGGTTTTTTTCATGCTTTTTCAATTTTTTTCTTTCATAATTACACACACAATCAGTTTATGTCTGCGGAGCATCTGATTGAAGCTTAAGATCCTCATACTTTCTGCTTACCTAATAATTTCCATCTTTGTTTCGAGCGATAGTTGAATTAAGTTCATCTGATCCATGCTTCTTATTACTTGCAGTAGCACCTTGGGCTTCTCTCTCTGTTCCTGTTATTTTTGACAGATATGGGGGAAATGCAATAAATTATTGAAATAGTTTCCCGAGCAGGTGTTGTTGAGCAAAGATGGCAAAATCGCTAAAAGTGACGGCAGCCACTCCACCAAAATGTATGTTCAGCAGTCAGTGTAGCCAAATTGTGCATGAGAGAGGCATCGGGGGATGCCAGTGCTTACCCAGCTGGGTAGGACCAAGGTCAGCGATCCACTGGGCTGAAGAACACTTTGTCCCCAGAAATTGGATCATTCCCATGTCAGACCACACACTCTTGGAACATCGATATTGAATAGAGCCTGCTGATGGCATGAGAGAAGATGTCAAACAGAAATAAGACTCGATATTGGTCTGCGTGGTCCTTGTGGCCCATTTGGGGAGACCAGACCTTGAGAAATAGAGAACTAAACCAACCAGCTTACCCCCAAGAGGTCAGAAATGGGTGTTCCAGGTGGTCCAGGAGTGGATAGGGGGTGTTCATGGAAGGCTTCCTGGAAAAACTGGTCCTGGGTCAGGACCTTGAAGAATTTAGGAAGCTTAAGGAGTGGGAACAGCAGATGTTCCAGATGGAGAAGCCCACGGGAGGAGATGTGATGTGCCTTAAGGGCACTAGAGTCATATAGTGTTGGACCAGTCCCAGCTCCATCACTTCCTCCGTGCACGATGTGACCAAGGAGACCAAGCACCTGAAGTTCTTCCACAGTTAGCTTGGCTGAGTCCTCAACAGTGGGAGCTGTTAACGGTTTCATTTATTATCACCCTAGGCATCTCAGGGGCTCAGTTCTTCCTTAGTGTTCTCATGTCAGCTCATCTTTCCCAGGGCATGCAAGCCCTGCCTCGCTCACCCTCTTTCCCGTCCATTTCTTCCGATGGTATCGGTGTTAGTCTCTTCAGGCTGCTATTGCAACAACACTACAGATGGGGGTGCTGATGAACCACAGAAATGTATTTCTCCCAGTTCTGGAGGCTGGAAGTCCAAGATCAGGGTGCCAGCCATGGTTGGGTTCTTGGTGAGAGCCTGCTCCCTGGTTCACAAATGGCCCATCTTTGTGCTGTGTCCTCACATGGCAGAAGGGGTGAGAGGGCTCTCCAGCATCTCTTTTATCAGGGCACCTCCCAAATGTCCCACCTCCTAATATGATCACATTGGGCGTTAGGATTTCAACATAGGAACTTTGGGGGGACACAAATATTCAAACCATAGCAGAAGGCATTGGTGTCTTCTGGGGGATTCTCACCTCCTATTTCAAAGAGCTTATAAAATAATTCACCTAACAAAAAAAATCAGTGAAGGACGCTGAAGGCTGTCTGCTGCTAAAAACAACAAAGAAATGGAGATGGATGGATAGATAGAGAGATAGACACATGGACATTTCCATTTGATCATTAACATGTTCCCTGAGCACTGTGTTGTGTGTTTGGCACCAATGAACTCATTGAATCCTCACATCAAAATGGCACTGGGGCAGACCCTTCTAGTAGCTTACTCCACAGCCACGACTAATCCCTTTGCCTGCTGCCTGTGTAAGAAGTTAAGAAAGCTAGATTTCACTTTCCAGCCCCCTTTGCAGCTCCCACTGGCCGTAAAACCCAGTTCGGCCAATTGGATATGAGGGGAAGTTTGTAAGGGGCATCTTGGAAATACTCTCCTCCCTGATAAATGGACACAGGCACATGGAGAAGGCCCAGTTTCCAACACTGCCTTTCCTTCTTGGGTTGTAGTCCTGTGGGGACATCGTCCTTGGAGCTGCGGGAAGACCCTGGAGGAAGGTAATGGCTTACCCAGTGCCCGGACATCGGCGAGCCTGGAAAATGCCATTGGCCAAGCTCAGAAGGGTGGGCAAGGGAGGTGAGAGCCAATGGAACAACAGGCACACTCCACTCAAGTAGTTCCCAAACCCTGAGGAACGGATTCCCTGGACAAGGGATTCCCATTTTTGGCTTCCACATGGCATTAAAAGGTAAACGTTAGTGGGTTGAAGAAGTTATGATAAAGTAATAATTACCAGCCTCGGGACTAATACCTAACGAATAACTCATTTCAAAACAGGACTATGTTGGCATGCATACCCTTTATGTTGCCATAAAGCATATCTGCTCTTGTTGGCTTTGTCTGAATGGCCGCTGTCCAAAGGCTGCTGCCTTGTCCAAAATGCCCACTCTTAAATTTCATTTGTCTTGAGCCATTGGTAGCAAATCAAAGCAGACATGTTTATTCTTCTTAATTTTGTGTTTGTGGAAAAAAATCCGTTCCAGAAGCACTCAGACTTCTGGCACTCTGACTCGTTCTTGACACGGTTCTCCAGGCAGTCTTATTCAGGGAGCTGCTTAATAGATACCATTTGAACTAAATCTTTGCGTCTTTCCCAAATTCATATGTTGAAACCTAACCCCCAATGTGATGGTATTGGGAGGTGGGGCCTTTGGGAGGTGATTAGTTCATGAGGGTGAAGCCCTCATGAATGGGATTAGTGCCCTTCTGCAAGAGGCCCCCCAGAGCTCCCTACCCCCTTCCCCCATATGAGGATACAGTGAGAAGTCTGTGACCCCAAAGCTGGCCCTCCCCTGACTATGCTGGCCCCCTGATCTTGGACTTCCAGCCTCCAGAACTGTGAAAAATAGATTTCTGTTGTTGGAAAGCCACCCGGTGTATGGTATTTAGTTAACAGCAGCCAGAAAAGACTAAGACACTTTCTAAAGGAGAGTGGACTGTTCACTGGAGGGCTTTGGTTTGCGGAATGGGCTCTGTAAGTTCAAACCCAGAGCTGAATTTTCCAGGAAAGCAAAAGATTTTGGAGATGGCATGCAAGAAAAAAAATTAGTAGGGTAAGTAAGGACTGGCAGCATAAGGAGGGCTTTCGAGAGAAAACAAAAATGTCTAGTGGAGATTTTCATTAAGTTGTTTCACGGGCACAATGCAGTATAAACCTCTTTCTTTTTTTTTTAAAGATTTTATTTATTTAGTTGGGAGAGAGAGAGAGGAAGCACAAGCAGGGGGAGTGGCAGGCAGAGGGAGAAGCAGGCTCCTCGCCGAGCAGGGAGCCCGATGTGGGACTCAATCCCAGGACCCTGAGATCATGACCTGAGCCGAAGGCAGACGCTTAACCGACTGAGCCACCCAGGCATCCCAACCTCTTTCTTTTTCTTCGTGATACTGTCAATCGAATCCACCTTGTTTGCTCATGTTTCTGAGGCAGATTTAAATCTTTAGGTTGAGATCTGCCTTGAACCGGCATGAATCCAATCCAGAGGTGCCTATGGTAGGGCAGTCACATATGGGTGATGTAACTAAAGAAGGAAAAAGCAGGGTTGCATCAAGACCCTCAATTTACTGTGGTCCAGGAAGGTTAACAAGGATTGCTTTCAGTTTGCAACTCTGTCCTATGAAAAGAGGCAAGGAGTAACCCGCTTACTGTGTTCCTTATGTTTGCAGCTGGGAAGAGAATGTCTTTGTATATGACCTTGTCAACAGCTGTGTGCCTGGGATCCCAGCTGACGTCTGGACAGGGCTTCATGATCACAGACAGGTAAGGAAGCCGTGACTACCAGGTCCTCCTGGAACTTCCCAGCCAAGACGCCATTTCGATTTAGCCAACCTTGTGCATGGAACCTATATGCCAGGTCACTGCTGCGTGCCCAGCAAACGGAGAGAAATCAGACACCGAGATGCCCCAGTTAGAATACAGTGGTGTGATGGGCGCCTGGGTGGCTCAGTTGGTTAAGCGACTGCCTTCGGCTCAGGTCATGATCCTGGAGTCCCGGGATCGAGTCCCACATCGGGCTCCCTGCTCAGCGGGGAGTCTGCTTCTCCCTCTGACCCTCTTCCCTCTCGTGCTCTCTGTCTCTCTGTCTCTCTCTCTCAAATAAATAAATAAAATCTTTAAAAAAAAAAAAAGAATACAGAATGAGCCTATGACGGGAACATAGTATGGTCAGGGAAGGCCTCTGTTTGGGTCAGAGTTCTCGAAAAAGCAGACACAAAAAATGTGATCAGATGTGCAAGAGATTAATGAGGGGGAAAAGCTGTGAAGAAAAAATGAGGAGGGGGCATAAGGAGGCAGGGAAGGTCTCCAGACAGCGAGGTGGGTCTGAGACCTGGGAGGGGTGCAGGGGGAAGGAAGACCAGGGAGGAGGAGCCTCTGATTATAGCAGAGTTCTGAGAAAGACTTGGCTAGGCCTGTGGGGAGTCTGCAGGCAAAGGAGGGCCAGGAGAGGAAGCCCGCATGGGGCAGGAATGGACCAGCACTAGCACCCCTGAGTTCTTGCTGAATCACTGATGGGGCACGGCCTGGAGGAAGCCCGGTCTCACTGTGAATGCTGGGACGCATCCCAAGGGGCAGGGGAGCTGAGGCGGTCAGCCAGCCATGTTCCCTGTAGCCGGTCCTCCTAAAGGAGCTCCAAGCAGTGTCCTTCCATGGCTGCCACTGCCTCCCTTAGGTTAGAGACATTTAAGCTACTATCTAATGGATAAATAGTCAGAGGAAGAAGCATTCCAGGGAGAGGAAAGGGCATGGGCAAAAGGTCTGAGGTGTGAGCGCTTCTGATCCATTCGAGGGCGTTAAAGACAAATGGGTCTGGGATGCAGAGTGGGGCAGGGGTCGATGGATTCATGGTGAAGGGTTAGGCCAAAAAGGAGAGCTGACGCCAGATCTTACACCTGGTGATATCACCGCAGACTCCACCTGGAAATTTTATCCCTAGACTTTCCCCGGGTGAGCTGAATACTGTCTCTGTTCTGAGAGGCGTATGCTACCAGCCCTGCCCCAGGGTACTGTGGGGGACCGGGCTCCGGTTCCAGCTCCCGTCCTGCGGCTGACTGGGTGGTAGGTGACTTCGGGCATTTTTTTTTTTAACCTCTCTGAGCTTCAGTTTCTTCATAGTGCCTTGTTGTAGAAAGTCAGTGAGCTTAGCCTGGTGCTTGGTGCACGATCACGGCTCGTTTAGGCCGGCCGGAGCTCCTATCACGGTGGCAGAGGTAACCATAGTGGCCAGGCTCGACAGAGATAACATCTTTTAAATCCATAGAGTTCAGCTGGCAAGAAACTATATAGAAGTTGTCATTAAAAAAAAACAAACAAACAATCGTTTCTCGGCCTTTTGGCTAAGATCAAGTGTAGTATTCGTTCTTACCAGTTTTAAAAAAAAAAACAACCCACATTTCTATTTGTAATAGTAACTTTAAAATGGGACCATGGTGAGGGGGGAGGGGCACCTGGGCGGCTCAGTCGGTTAAGCGTCTGACTCTTGGTTTTTCGCTCAGGTCATGATGTCAGGGTCGTGAGATCGAGCCCCAGGTCAGGCTCTGTGCTCATCGGGGAGTCTGCTTGAGGATTTTCTCTCTCCCTCCGCCCCTCCCCCCTCTTGTGCACATGGGCTTTCTCTCTCTCTCAAATAAATAAATAAATATTAAAATAAAATGGGGTTATAGGGGTGCCTGGCTGGCTCAGTCAGAAGAGCATGCAATTCTTGGTCTTGAGGTTGTGAGTTCAAGCCCCTCATTGGGCGTAGAAAGAACTTAAATAAATAAGTTTAAAACATATATATATATACATATACATATAAAATAAAATGGGATGATGAACACACGTAATTGGGGTTTAAGGAACTTGTATTACAAGATTTAAGAATAATAATAACAAACAGTACAGTCAAAGGGCTTGTTTTTTAAACTTTTCTTTTCAGGGCCGCACACTGTGAGCCCTTTGCACGCTTTACTTCGTCAGCCCTCACAGTAGCTTTCTGGGGGAGATATTAGCCCCATTGTAAAGGTGCAGAAACAGACCCGAGAGGTTAAGCCCCTCGTCCAGCCTGCAGGGAAGAAGTGGGTAGAGCTGGACCGGCAAGCTCCAGAACTCTCTCGTAGAGGCGGCATGGTATTTCCATTATCTGACGCCCCCTCCGTAATCATCAGTGCTTCGGGGGAGACTTTTCTACGAACTTGAATAAATGCAGAAATGGCTTGTGTTCCAGAACATTGCAAAGATGTAGTTCTCCCCACAGTTAATTTGCACATTTATTTTAACACCAATCACATTCCCAACAGGCGTTTTCTTGTAATGGGACAGAGCGGTCCCACCTCGGGCAAGAAAAATACACAATATGTTGGACAAAAGGAAAGAAATGAAGGGTGACCCCTGTCTGCTGGTAAATTAAAAAAAAAAAAAAAAGTGGAGTAGTAGGTATGGTCTTGGGTACTGCAGTCACAGACGTGGATTTGAATCCCAGCACGAAGGCTCTATGAGCAGTATGAATTTGGCTAGACCAGTCCGAGTCTCGGTTTCCTCATCTCTGAAAGGGAGATGCGGATGCCCACTCGGAGGACAGTGAGGCTAAAGCGTGGCGTGGCACCTTAAATAAGGCTTCACCAAACTGTTGTGAGGTGCTAATGACAGCGTCTCACATCCACGTGAGGACTTCTGTTCTGCTCCGCATGGAGATGTTACAATGTCTTCCCTGAGCTGGGGCTGGCGCTAATGCCAGATCTTTCTCTCGCCAGCTTGCCTCCTTGGATTCCAGATGGGGCTGCCTGGGAAGGGCAGTTTGAATGGACCGACGGCCCCTCCTATGACTACAGCTACTGGGACGGGAGCCAGGCAGATGATGGCGTACACGCGGACCCAGAAGAGGAGGATTGCGTGCAGATATGGTACTGGCCCACCAGCGGTGGGTGCCCCTGAGACCAGGGCTCTTGCAGAAGTGCCACGGATGGCAGGGAGACTGGCGAATTAGGTGGCTGGGGGCGTCCTTCTTCACAGCAGATAGTTTATTTTTTTTTAAGATTTTATTTATGTGTTTGACGGAGAGAGACACAGCGAGAGAGGGAACACAAGCAGGGGGAGTGGGAGAGGGAGAAGCAGGCTTCCCGTGGAGCAGGGTGCCCGATGTGGGGCTTGATCCCAGGACCCTGGAATCATGACCTGAGCCGAAGGCAGACGCCTAACGACTGAGCCACCCAGGCACCCTGTTGTGTTTTCAATATGGCTTCCATCAGCTCTTTTTTTGACAAAACACACTTCCAGTTCCTTTTGGAATGACGGGTGTCTTCAGCTCTTGATTGCATGGACCCTGATTGACTTAAGCAATCAATGTTTTATCCTCCTGGCCACGATGATGGTTCGAATTGGCCAAATAACCCAGATACAGCCAATGATATGAGAGGAGATGTTTGCCGGGGCTTCTGAGAAAGAGTAACCCCTCCTTCTCTTGAAGGATGGAAGATGTGGACTTATACTGGCCATTTTTGTTTTCTCAAGTGGAGAGACTGGAGCCTCAGGATCAAGCCAACACCATGGAGGCAGAACACGGAGATAACTATCTTTGGCAATATCATTTAAGCCTCTGGATCAAACTGAGCCTGAAGCTAGATATGTCTGGACTGTCCAGCTCAACGAGTAAATCAAAGTCTTTTTGTGTTTAAGGCAGTTTGGGTTGGGTTTTCTGTCACTAGCAATCAAAACAGTCGCAATGATGCACTTGCCTCTGAGGACTGCCAAGGGAGCAGAAGGAGTAGCCACCTGCTCATTGGGGGCTCAGTCTGAAGGCAGGGACCAATGTGTTGGCAAAAGGACAGGTGAAGAGGGGCTCTCATATACTGTAGGTCTGAGTATAAATTAGTATGGGCTTTTGGAGGGGTGTCTCGTTATACTGTAGGTGTTTACGTGTTAATCTGGGTCCTCTGAGAAGCAGGCACAGGGATGGATTATGTGTGCAAGGATTTTATTAGAGGAAATGCCTTTGTGAAAGAAAATGTGGAGGGAACCAGGGAAAGCTGGGAGAGGTGTCAGTCTGTGATGCAAGTCCGGCCCTCCAGTGAAGGACAGAAGGTGGAGGCTTCCTAGACTGGCCTGTAGTCTAAAGCAAGTTCAGCAAGGCCATCGGGGTGTCCCTGAGCCAAAGTCCACCACCAAGGGAATGCCGCCCCCCAGGAACAAGGCTGCCTCACTTAGTCATTGCTTGGGAGCAGCCTATGGGAAGTAAGGCCTCCAAGTAAACAAAATGATGGATTTCACCCACAAAAGCCAGGACCCTCAGTCAATTTTGTCCCTGGGAGTAGGAGGCCCTTGAGGTGCATTCTCACGGTGCTCACAGTACACATGCCCAGAAAACACTATTGAAAGGTCGATAGTGGCTAACTCTGGCTGGTGGGATTATGGGAGATACATACAGGACACTTTATATGTGTTTTTGCAATCCACATGCATATTTTTGTAATAGATAAGTAATCCTATTTTTAAAATGTGCTTACACTTTGAACTGATAATTCCACTTCTAGGAATATATCCCCAAGAAAATAATTGAATATATATATACAGATGATTATCACTGTGTTATCTGTAATCATGAAGAATTAGATGGCACCAAAAAGACTAACAATAGAAGGATTGTTAAATACATGTTGATAGGTCCACATGCTGAGATCGTATGCTTCATTTGTGATGATCGTATGGGTGATGTATATTTATTGTCATGAGTACCAGCTTCCCTGTCTGTATGTCCATCTATCATCCAGGTCTCTCTAAATATATCTCTTGATTGTTTTTACCCCTTCCTTCAACCATCTATGCATCCATCCGTCTATGCATCTGTCTATCTACCCATGCATGCATGCATGCATCCATCCATGCATGCATATATCCATCCATCCATCTATTCATCTATCCATGCATTATCTATCCAATCATCCATCCATCCATCTACCAATGCATGCATGCATCCATCCGTCTATCCATCCATCCATGCATCATCCATCCATCCATACATACATCCATGCATCATTCATCCATCCACACATCATCCATCCATCTAGATCCAACCATCCATGCATCATCCATCCATCCATCCACGCATCACCCATCCATCCATCCATGCATCATCCATCCATCCATCCATCCACGCATCATCTGTCCATCCATGACTCCATGCATCTATGCATCCATGCATCCATCCGTCATCGATCTATCTCCCCCGCTCTCCCCTACCCTCTCTCTCCCTCTCTCTTTCACGGATTATTCTCAGGCTTGGTTGCCTGGCTTCCCTGCCCACAGCATCTCAATAGCAACAGTCTAGAAAAGATGGGAGATTCTGTGGGCTGTCAGAGACTGGCACAGTGACACCCAGATATGATGACAGGCGACAAAAATACCTGAAGCAGATGAAGCGCACATGACCCTGAGTCATCGAGAAAAGACTAATCTTGTTGAATATCATCTGTTTAGGGAAGCAGGGAAATGTATACGTGGTTTAAAAAGATTGCCATCCAAAGTAGAAAAAATAGAGGTAGTTGTGATGCTTGGGGAATGAGTTTTCATTTTCAGGAAAAGTTCCCTATGCAGAGCTCCTTGTTCCCCAGAGCTGCCTGATAAATCAGTCAGAGCTGGAGGGGAATGCATCTCCATTTTACAAATGAGAAAACTGAAACTCAGAGAGAGGTTAAGCCACTTTGATGAGGTCACATGGTAAGCAGAAGTGGTGGGATTTGAACCTTTTTTTTTTTAAGATTTATTATTGGGGGCGGTTGGGAAGGGGCAGAGGGAGGGGAGAGAGAGAAATCTTAAGCAGGCTCCACGCTCATGCAGAGCCTGACTCGGGGCTCGATCCCACGACCCTGAGATCAGGACCTGAGCCGAAACCGAGTTGGCTGCTTAACCGACTGAGCCACCCAGGCAGCCCCAACCTATGTCTTTTTGATTCCAGCTGTAGTAACATGGAGATGCACCACCCAGATCCGCCTTCGAGCAAGAGGGCAGAGAGCTTTCAGCTGTCAGCTCCTTCAGTGTCGGCATCAGCTGCGGAGAAGTCACATCCTTTCTGGGGAAGCCTGCATCGCCGCCGACTGAGTCAAGTTCGGGTCTGAAGTCCTGGCCCTTTCCACCCCATGTGGTCCACTCTGGTGGCAATATTTATTTCTCCTGGATCTCCCTGCCAGGTTGGCTGATAATTTGCCGGGTCACACCCAGTTCCACTTTTTCCTCCGCTTTTCCTTCACAGGTATTGATCCCTAAGCGATCTCTGCGCCAAACTCTGTCTCAGCGACTGCTACGGGAACACCCAGTCTAGAACCACAGATACTGGGAGAGGTCTGAAGAAGCAGGCAACAAGGCAGGGCTGAGGAGCTGGATGGCTTCCCTCTAGGCAGGCAATCAGTTGTGGTGGGTGGAGCACCCTCAGTCCCTGGCACAAGGTGGTTCAAACTTTCATTGAGTGAGCTGGGAGGGTGTCCCAGGGGCAGGGAATGCACCAGCAGAAGCCATGTATCAGGTAATGATACAATCATTACCAATACAATCGGGAACAGAGGAAATAGCGTGATAAGCATAACTAGATTGGATGGCTGTTGCTACAAGGCTTTGATGCTCTACAGAAGGATACTTATCAGCCAAGGACGAGTCACGGGCCCTTGCTCTAGGAGTGAAAGCCAAAGAGGTTCTCTGGCTCCCTCCTCAGCAGGAAGCCTGCTTCTCCCTCTCCCACTCTCCCCCACTGGTGTTCCCTCTCTCACTGTGTCTCTCTCTGTCAAATAAATAAATAAAATCTTAAAAAAAGAAAAAAAGAAAACAAAACAATATATGTCTAGTACAAGAAGGCAGCGAGGAACCAGCTCTAAATTTCAAACTGGGAAGAAGGACGTTGAAAACACAAAAAGCTAACTGCAGCCTCAGGCAGTCTTCCAGAGAAGGGCAAGACCACATCTCACCCCCGTGAAGAGTCTTTTTGGAGGGAGTTTTTTTTTTTTTTCCCATGTTCTCAGCTCCTAAGAAGTAGGATATTCTCTGTAGAGCTGCAAAAGAGAATCAGGAGCTGTATCAGCTGTCAAAATAAACACATGGGGCATAGTTAAGTGATTTGCCCAATTCGAAGGATAATAATAATAATATTAAAAAAAAGAGAAAAAAGAGAAATCAGACCTCTGTTATTTTGAAGTGAATTTCGGATCCAACAGCCCGGCCTCCATCTTTTTAAGGAGGCTCTCACCAGCTGGGGAATTCTCCTGAGGAAGCCAGTCCTCACAAATATGCCATGTTAGAAGGATCCAGGGCTTTCTTTTCCATCCAGGTTTGGCTGCACAGCATACCTCCTAACATCTACCGACTGTCAGGGACCTTAGCCATGGAAGCCAATGCAGTCCTCTCCACGGTCCCACACCAGGGGCCCGGCTGAGCCTCCAGGTGAGGATTGTGGGCTTGGAGTCAAAATCATGGCTCAGACCCCAGCTGCAACGCTTGCAAGGTGTAACCCTGGGCAAGCTGCTTCACCTTGCCAGGCTCCCATTTGGAAATGCAAATGGGAATGCCAGTATTCCTCTGAGGCTGTGAGGACGGGGTGAGATACTGCCCGAGAAGGACTTAGGCAGTGGCTGGCACATAGCAGACCCTCAGTAAACATTCGCCATCGTTATGGTGATTGGGACCCCTGCTTTGTCAGCTAGGACAAGGACCGGACACCGCCCATTTGGTATTCAACCTGGGTGACCTTGCACCTCTTGTGAGTACTTGAGAATGTCTTTGTTGCCACAGATCCTTCCTTCTGTGACACTTCGTGATCCCTAGGGGATGTTCATTATGTAGCTACTTCTAAAATAGGATGAATTCAGCCCATTCTCTCTCATAACCCCTAAGGCTAGGTTTGACTTGGCCAAGGACCCAGGACCAACTGCAACGATCAAGGCAAAACACTGATATGTTTAACGTATTTATTGCCAAATGCCTTCAAGAAGGTACTACCAATTTCCACCCTAACCTAGGCAAAGATGACAAAAATAATAAGATTTCGTTGCCAGTACTGATTTTAAACAATAATTCTTTGATTTCCACTGAGGGTGCGCATTTGTTTATGGTGGTTGTGGCCATCTTGAATTGGGAGGAGAGGGGCCAGTTTTTCCAGTCCTCCTCAGCTGGGAAATGCCCCCCTCCCGCCCCCCAGGGACTATTTAATTAACACCTACCCCCCATGGAGCCAAATAACAACCAGGCATCCAGTGAGCTTCCGCTCGGCAGGAGCCTTGGCTTCTCCCCACGCCCACTGGAGTCGTTGCTGTTCGTCTTACAATAGAAAGTCTCCAGCAGTAACTTGGCCTGTTAGAGCCAAGTCTTCTCGGGAGCACTGGTCCCTGTTAATGATACCACAGGAATGAGTGCGCAGCTGTGCCGCAAGCATGGGTGCAGGGGGGAGATGGGGCGAAGCCGTGCAGGAGCCCTCAGAGGCTCCACGCACCCTGCTCTCCTCCACGTGGGCCCTGGTAACCCGTTGCCAAGCCCCGCTGTGCATTTGCCACTATCAGTGTCATTAATTCATTACCTTTCATCCATGCAGGCCAGCCCATTGCCAGCCCCAGCAGTTGGCCCCTTCAAGGAGGGTATTGTTGCACAAAGGGCCTCTTCGTAATAGTAGAGGGGTGGGGGAAATCATAGGCATCAGAATTTCTCTAAGGGACAGACCTGACTTTAATTAGGAAAACGTCTTGATAAAGCACTTGGTGGAGAGGGGAGGAGCCCAGGGAACAAAAGAGATAGCCAGACTATTCCACATTCAATTGGAAATACATGGTGAACATGTGTCAAAGATGTATTTAATTCATGAATGAAGGAACCGGCTAGATCGCAAAACTTCTTCAGAGGATAGAAGAAACTAATACATCCAAACTGCCACCACATACACACCCACATACGGTTCATAAGAAAAAAGAATGTCAGGTGTCTGGCTAGCTCAGCTGGTGGAGTGTGCAGACTCTTGATCCTGGGGTTGTGAGTTTGAGCCCCGCGTTGGGTGTAGAGATTACTTAAAAAAATAAAATCTTGGGTGCCTGGGTGGCTCAGCTGGTTAAGTGACTGCCTTCGGCTCAGGTCATGATCCTAGAGTCCCTGGATGGAGTCCTGCATCGGGCTCCCTGCTCGGCAGGGAGTCTGCTTCTCCCTCTGACCCTCCCCCCCCCCCATGTGCTTTCTCTCTCTCTCATTCTCTCTCTCTCTCAAATAAATAAATAAATTCTTTAAAAAAAATAAAAAATAAAAAATAAAAATCTTGGGGGCACCTGGGTGGCTCAGTCGGTTAAGCATCTGCCTCAGCTCAGCTCGGGTCATGATCCCGGGGTCCTGGGATCGAGCCCCACATGGGGCTCCCAGATCAGCAGGGAGTCTGCTTCTCTAAGAACTCTCCTTCTGCCCCTTCCCTCTGTTTGTGCTCTCTCTCTCAAATAAAGAAAAATAAAGAAAAATAAAAATCTTTAAAAAAAAAGATGTTGGAATAAATTTCCAAGTTAAATATGAAACTAGTTAATGACCTACAGGACAATAAAATCTTTAGGCCAAGAATTAGCAGATATGACCTGGTGATCAAACCCACCACCTATTTTTGTATATTTTTTTTTACATTTTTGCACAGCTGGAAAAAGAAAGAATATTCTATAAAATGAAAATAACATACAATTCAAATTTTAATGTCTGTAAATAAGGTTTTATTGGAACACAGCCATGCTCATTCACAGCAGTCCGTGGTGGCTTTCATACAACAACAGCTGAGTGGAATAGTTGCAACAGAGAATGTATGGCCCATAAAACCTGAAATATTTATCATCTGGCCCTTTATGGAAGAAGTTTGCTGACCCCTGCTCTAAGATAATGACATGTCAATAATCTTTGAGGTTACCTTCTCTACTAGGCAAAAATCAGCTGCATCTCCACAGGACAAAAATCGTTTGCAACTTATCAATTTTCTACAAGTTAACACCTATCTTTATAGAATTGGGGCCCAGTCAATAGCAAAGTCAAACAGTTATATCCCCTCGAAAATCAGATAACCTTTAAGCAGATAGTGTTCTAATTTAATTTTGAGAAGTTATACAGCTGTCTTTTTCCTTTTTTTCAAACTTCTGGATAATTGTTCTTAACACTTGGAACCAAAAGATCATTAAGCAATAGAGACTCAGTAATCTATAATGATCTACAATTCATGGTCTAGAAAGTCACTTCCTTCTCAGGAGTTCTCAGAATTGAAGATTGGAGAGCCCTTTCATTAAACTCAGGGAATGAAGCAGCCTCTCCCTCTGAGCAGAAAGAAGACAACCAGACCTAGGTGAAGATACGAGGAACTGGGGAAAAGCTGGCCTGCTGGTCTACCTTAAGAGTTGTTCTATGTCGGCGTAGGTGGAATGGGGTGGAGAGGGGCGAATCCCAAAGTGGCAGCCGAGATGGCTTGGGGGTATGTTGGGAATTGGGTATCATTTTGATCATTATTGGTATAAGGGACTTCCCAAGATTCAGTAGCCATTCTCCAATAAACTGGGGAGAGATTGCCCTCCCTACCATTTACTCCCGGCTGCTAACCCCATCCATTCAAGTGGCCCACACTGCACACCAGCGCTGCTATCACCACGGGAGGGTGCCAGAAATGTCTGGGTGGGTTTCTTTTTCAAAAAGCTTTGAGATATAATTCACACGCTGTCTTCATGCTGCTCTAACAGTAACATTAGAGCAGAGAGTAACGTTAGAGACTGGATAGTTTATAAACAAAAGAAGTTTCTTCCTCACACTGCTGGGGGTGAAATCTAAGATCAAGGCACCAGCAGATTTAGTGTCTCGTGAGAAACTGATTCCTCGTTCACAAACGACACCAACTTCCCACTATGTCTTTACCTGGTGGAAAGCCAAGAAAGGCGAAGGAACTCTCAGCGGTCTCTTTTATATATGTTCTAATTCCATTCATGAGGGTTCCACCTTATGACCTAATCACCTCCCAAAGACCCCACCTCTGATTACCATGACACTGGAGATAAATTTCAACCTATGAGTGGGGGTGGTAGGTGAGGGAACAAAACATTCAGTCTAGAGCACACACCATAAAATTCATTCCTTTAAAGTGTATCATTTTTTTTTAAAGATTTTATTTATTTCTTGGACAGAGAGAGACACAGCGAGAGAGGGAACACAAGCAGGGGGAGTGGGAGAGGGAGAAGCAGGCTTCCCGTGGAGCAGGGAGCCTGATGCGGGGCTTGATCCCAGGACCCTGG